TCTCCTAGATAAATAAATATATAAACAAATAATTCTTTTATAATATAGTTATACATTTTTTTCCTATAATATCTATTACTTACTTTCATAAATAATATGTTGTAAACTTGGTTCTTTTGATTTCTCTTTTTAAAAATTTTTTGCTGAATCCAATCTGTATAAAATTCTTGACATGACTGTTAAATTTCTATAAAATGGTTTTTCGTAAACCTCTCTAAAACTTATTAACCAACACCCCCCATAAAGTAATGACCATATGAAAGCTTAGAGTATTTTACTCCTCTTCAGTCACTATCAGGTCTTTTAAAGCGATATTGAAAAATAATCTGAGGTTTGAAGTGAAAAAGTAACACCATTTTTGAATAGTCGTAGATTTATATAGAGAAGACCTTTCGATATGAAAGAGTATTCATTCGAAAGCTTTAATGTAGTATTTTTATTTTACTCTAACAACGAAGTTCGAGTTTATTATAAAAATAACGAGCTATTTTAAAAAAAATTCATGTGACACAAATTAGAAATTTTTTATTTAATATAGAAAATAATTTGAAAGGACATGTCACACGACTGATACAAATGAGAATTTTTAAACTCCGAAAAATGGTTGAGTTCACAAAACATCTCTATACGATGTAACAGAACTATATTTCATGCTGCAGACTTGTTGCGAGATTTTCATTTTACACATAATTTCCTAATTAAAAATGAAACAAAGTGTTACATATTGTTCTTGGTGATAAATGATTGTGCAAAATAAAGAAAAAACAAAAATACTTTGCTGATTATTTTGTATTATTAATAAGTGAAGATAAAAGACCTTCTTTTCATGTATATTGTCATGTGAAGATTTTACTAATAAGTTTAATTAAAACCCTTATTAATGTTGATATTGATTTGAAAAAAAGTTATTTTTCGACAATAACTTGGTCGTAAAAAATAATAATAAAGAATTAGTTGAATTTTTTTTTAATTTTCCAAATTTGGATTACAAGTGACGTGTTCAAAGACGGACGACGATGATGTCCATACTATTATTACGTGATAAAAAATTTTCCAATTCGTTCGTTCATTTTTAATATTATTATATTTTTTTAAAGTTTCGTGATACGGTTGCACAGATGGATAAATTTTATTTTTTTTTTGAATGACAATCAACAAACAACAAAGAAAAAAATCAAGCACAAACGGTTTGAATAACGGTTATTTGAATCGAAGATAAGAAAACATTAATCATCATCGCAAATTGTTTAATCCATTTTGATTAACCATCTCAAGTCTAGTGTACTCGTCCATAACACTGTTTGAGCTCTGGTCAATGCAACATAAACTTGCCCTTTGGCAAACATGTTTTCATCCATGAAAACATTTAGTTACATTAGGTGAGATCAATCCATGCGTTTTATGGCCGTGAGTGCGAAAGCATTCCGAGGCGGAAACTGTTTCCTAGAAGCTCTCTTTCCATCGATTTCAAAGTAATTTGTTTCTTTTTGGATCACCACTTTGCTAATGCTGTCAGCAGTTGGAAAGGTAACTTCTAAATTTCACAATCAAAGATCCTTGTCAGAATTCCCTACAAATATTTTCTTCAAACAGTTTATTGTTTAGAAGGTAAATTTTTTGGGGCAAATTTGTGAAGCCATTGAATTGTCTGATGAGGTGACTTTCATCCAAATTTTCATAATTTAGGGATCTTCTGAAACCGAGACAATTGGATCATTGCACGTCCCAAAGGGTAAGGAATTACAAAGTAACGTGTTGATATTATCGACAGCTTGACGTGTATCAGCAACTTGCATGATGTTGTAGAATTTATCAACATTGGCGTTACTTTTGTCATTGATTTTAGCATTAATGATTTCCTTGGTCTCTTCATGCAACCTAGAAATTCGGACTTCCTGCAAGATTTATAAAAATTCATTTTGCTGTTTGTTAAGAACAAAGGAAAGAACGTTTTCCAAGCTGGCAGGCAAATGGAAAACTTGTAAAGGCAGGACTAGAGGCAATTGAGAAAGGTTGCTCGCCACAAGTATGGGTACACAACCAAAGACAATGTTGTTGTCGTGTGCTCTGGCAAAGGTATTGCTGACAAAGTTGAGATTTCATCAATCACAACAACTTTGGTGTTTTTAATTCTTTTTATCTGCAGGATTTGAGAGCATAAAGATTCATAACACCCTCCCAATACCTCACTTTCAAGGCAGAATGGATCGTTTTTTCATCGATATTTTGACCAGCAACACCAGTTGGGCCAACATAAGTTTTTTTTTTTTTGATTTTTGATTACTTGTTTGGCGACAAAGGATTTTCCAGTTCCCACAGATACGGACAAGAAAAATTATGGATGTTTTTTATCATGTCTCCAACCCAAGAATTACACAATTCACCGAATATCCTGTATTTCTCATCTTCAAAAGTCGGGGTGGTGTTTTTCCAGCAAGATTAATTGTTGAAAAATAATATTCATTTTTTACCTCAAGCAAGTTCGATTCCAGGATCAAACTATACGCCTTGACAAGTGGTTCTTTCTATCCATATAGCTATTTTTTATCGATTATATAGCCTGCTCGTATCTCAGCAGAAACGTAGCTTAGAACTATTTCCTGTACGTGGGGTGGTCACTTTTTAATTCCAACTCTGATCTTACGGGGATCCTCATGATAAGATGCTGGTAAAAAAAATGGTTCACCATCCTCGGCTTTATAAAATGTGAAACGTAGGAGTGCTAGGACTCTTTTCTGCACAATGACTGCGATCCCTGACCGAGAATAATTTGATTTTGCACCAGGTGAATTAGATCTTATCATGTAGCTCTTGAATTAATCAGGGTACGTTAGGTTGTGGAAGAACTCATGATCAGGCCTATCGAAATATTTATCAATAGCATCATCCCAATACGGGTTCGACATGTGATCGTTGCCTCTTCACTTTCGTCGTCGTCATCATCATCATCATCATCATCATTAATATCATTTTTCAACAGGTATTCCGATGGCGCAGAAGGAAAATAGCAGACACAGAACATCTGGTTATAGGGTGCTGTAACAAAAATATCACGATCTCCATGGTACCTAACCTCCACACCATCACATGCTTCCTGTATTTATCCTTCTCATCTATATTACACAGTTCAGATGGTTAAGGTTTCATCACGTATTTTGTTATGTATTTGGCAAACCCGATCAAAGTGACGCACTGAAAATTTATATAGCCTTTCCAGAACAACAAAGTCTAACTCAACGAATTTCGTGAGCAGTGTGTCACTCCAGATAATGATTCAGATAATGGTTGAAGGAACACTGTTCATTGTCAAAATTCTGTGGTCTATACTGAGATCGCAGTAATTAACTTGGAAAAACCTGACCAGGTTATACAACTCAATTTCCATGGCTGGTGTTCAACGGAATCAAGTCAGGATTTTTCTTTTCCGTGTAAACGAATGTATTGAGCCCGATTCTGGAATTCATCACGTTCGAAATAATGTAACATTTTTCCCACTGAACAAATTTTTTGGTTTTTCCATAATTTATTATGAACATTCCATCAGTCTGTTCCTGTAATGTGGCTAGGTGTGCAAGGGACGATTATTAGGAACGGTGTCATCCCTATTGGTTGCCTCCTTATCTTCGCCTATTGTCAGATCTGTGATAGCCCGTAGGCATTTATCATCGTGTCGACCTGGTGCTGCTTTTTCTTGAAGGTGGGAGCGACAATTCTCAAGTTTGAGGGCAGGATGGTTTTTTTAGGTTCATTTAAAATTTTTCAATCATTCTAGGAGTTCTAAGCAATCAAGTTAAACCTGTTTGAATGGTACATGCGGCCCACGTTTCTAGTGGCTAATATCCTGTTTCTATTTTGAAAATTACGCTTCTTCTCGAGGTTCAAATGCGAAACGTGGAGCCAGCACCAGTGTGATCAAATCGATCATTCGAAGTCAACATTCCGATTTTGATGTATTTTCCGTAACTGTATTTCCACGGTTGGAAGCTTGACTATTTTTTAACGTCTTTGTAGTGAACGCGTCCCTTTGTAAAAAGGTCAGGAAACATCAGGGCTTCCAGATCAGGGTTTTCGAATAGGACCGGGAGAGAGTTGTTATTGTTGAATATCGATCCTTCTATCAGATGGCTGTTCGCATTTTCGTTGTGTATTTCAGCAGGGAATGAATCGTTCGGAACGACCAGATCGGGTGTCTCTAGACCCTGCTTGGCAAGGTATTTTGATGTACGTTATACGATATTCCAGCATCACTCGTCATTATTGAATATTGCACTAGCGGCAATTGGAGCAGTGCAGGTTCTTCAGGAAAAGGATGTGTAATATCGGAGGCGTATTTTTTAATTAGTCGATTGTTTTTCTTGAGCCAGTTGAAGGCGGGGTTCAGGGGTTCATGAACGTTCAGGAAAGCCCCAATTGGTCCAGAATACAATTCCAGAGTATGATGATTGTGTGCTACGTTGATTTTCCCTTGCAGGCGAGCAATTCATATGGATGGGCGAGAAGTAAATGTGATTAAACATCGGGACATTCCGTATTTCAGAGGAATAGACACCAAGATCGAGGTAACTTCTATTTTTTTCATTTTTGCACCAATTGCAAACGGCAACCTGTTTTGTTCCATCATTGTTTTCTTTTACGAACGATGGGATATTTGAGAACGTCAGTGTTAACGTGTAATTTTCATCTTCATTATAGGGCAACCATTTGATGCTGGGTCCATCATAATGATCGAGCAGTAAGCACACGGGACATTCAGGTATTCAAATAGTATTTGTTTTTCAAATTTCCACAAGAGTTTATGGACAAGTGGAGATTCAGATCCGCGGGCGAAGAAAGCGTTGCATAAATTTGGGAATGAGAGTGAGAATTGCTGACATAGAGGTTGGGGTTATTCGACAAATTTTGATTTATTTCACTTCAGTGGATCTAATATTGAAAAATGGTGTGGTCATTTTATTATTTTCAGAATTCCTTGAATTTCTTTATATTGGTCTAGCGTGGATATGGAAAATCGCGGACATATTTCAGCAGCAGCAAATGATAAACTGGCTGACGATTTCGATTTAGTGGTTGTTATATTTATTAGTTTTGGTTTTGGCAACGATTTATTGTTAGTTATTAGTGATTTTTTGCAAAATTGAATGATAATAGATATTTTTGCTTTATTTTTTTTTTTTTATCACTATTACATGAAGGAATCGATTGCAAAAGAAAGGACAACTTATAAAAGAATTTTATCACAGGATCTAATTCTTCGTTCCATTACAATTGGATTGGGGACTCGCGCGATTGTGTTTTTATTATTATTATTAATTTAGGTAACAACGGATAAGGGATAACAGCCCAAACGGTTTTATTTAAATAAGGTGATAGTAATAGTAACGACAGATAAGGGATAACAGCCAAAACGTTTTTATTTAAATAAGGTAACGATGGATAAGGTATAACAACCAAAACGTTTTCAATTTATTTTAAATTAATAAGCTCTAACAACAGTCGGTAGAGATTCTGTAGAACTTTCAATTCCGTACACTATCCTTTTTTGTTCCGTGGATTTTTTATTTTTAATTTTTGTACGGAATTTGTGAATTCTGAAAAGTTGATTGGTGGGGGCCAGTCTGTACGATTTTCGATTCCATATTTGTTCCATACAGAGCATGATTTTGTATATACTCCTCTAGCAACACTAGTATCTTGAATAGAAAGAAAATCCTGTGTCATTTTATTGAGAATTGGATACTCTTTATAATGCGCCCCAAACAATAAAATTAGATCGGTTCTTTCATCAATTGGAAGAACAAGATGACAATCTAATTTTGATGATGATGCTGTAAATCTTGATGTTAAATAAATTACCTTGTAATTTTGGAATTTCCAAAATTCGGCCTTTTGCCCATGCCCATATTTCATAGTAAGGTTCGTGTTACGTACACTTGAAAAAAATGGCATGCTACAGTGTAGATCATCTATTGCTGGATTTTTTAAAAAATCACCACCATTCAATTTTTCAGCTTTAAGACAGAAAATTCATGTAAAAAAAAATTTGTCCCAATTTTTTTTTGATTTTTTAAATTTGAGAGTTATGCTCGGAACTACAATAATAATTTCGTGTTACAATATTTTTGAATTATATGACCAAATTTGAGAATGATGTTCGTTGAACTTTTTTATTGTAAAGAGCTTTTATTATTATTAAAAAAAGGAAATAAATAATCAATATGTCGTAAAAAATATTCGATGAAAAAATTTGTTAAAACTAGCCGATAAGTTTTGAAGCTTGAGTCATGAACAATAAAACTTATCGGTTAACTTTTTTAAAATTATATAAAAGTTTTTTGTTTTAATATTTTAATTGATTATAGATGATCTGCACCGTATTTTACATAAACCTGGGGCCAACTTCTGGTATTAATCCATCATAAACAATCAAAAAAATGGATAAAATAGTTCCAAAAAGAATCAATAAAATTTCTATTCTTATTCGATTTTAAATTACTATAAAGGATTATTGGTATTGTAATAAATAGAGAAATTTATCCCTCGCTTAAACATATAAATAAAAATAAGCATGTATGAAAACGTGAACACCTCGAGTGTTAAATATTTGAACTATAGCTCTGTTAAACCCACACTATACAATCGAACCTCGTTATAATGGGCCCTCATTCTAACGGATTTATATGATGGTGCCAAAATGTTAAAAGTTCGTTATTTAATTTAGGTTACACTGTTATAATAATAACTGTCTGTATCCATCCGTTGATCACATGCACGAGATGCATAGGTATGAGAAATTCCTAAAAATTTACCATGTGGTGCATTAGGCGTGTCTTTTATAAACAACACAACATCATTGTTACTTACAGTCTAAAATTATGAAAGAAATTGCCTGATTAATATTGGTTTTGCTTTAAAAAACAATTAAAATAAAAATAAATAAAATAAATACCTCGTCTGATGATAAAAAAAAATAAATCTTTGATTGTTGTTAATGTAAATGATATTCTTGATGATATTTTATCGGATTAAAGTATATTTTCTAAAATATTAAAATATAAACTACTTAGTTGATTATAACTTTGAAGGAAAATTTTTTTCACATCACATGTGTTTTGGTTGTGTGTGGCGTAGTTAGGCTTGCGATTTAAAAAAAAATTCTCGATTATTTATTTTGGGAATTCATTTATATATAAAAAAGAAAAGGATCAAAAGAAACGTAAAAAAAAACAATTACATACATCTCCGTCTATCCATCTGTTTTCTTCTCTTCTTATAAGATAAATTATTGCCTGGAGGATCCCATAAGTGATTAATATCATTACAGTCATAATATTATTCTTATTTGCACTACTGGAATGATTTCTATTTTTATCACTTCGATGTAATTTTGAAAAAAATTTTTACGTATAGTTACGATTTGCAAATTTTAATTTTTAGTTTACGACGGCCAATAAGATTTGAAAGACACCGAATACATATATATATATATTAAGAAACATCTAAATAACGAATTTACTCATTCTTTTTCATCTTTGTCATACATCTTTTTTAAATGGTTTATTTTTGAAGCCAATAAATGCTAATCTTTGGGAAATCAAATCATTCTAGAAATTGTTTAAAGTATATTAAAAAAAATTTTTACATTACGAAATATAAAAACAAAGTTTTTTTCATTTTAATATTAATGAAGTCTTCTGATTCCTTCATTTACAATTATTGGAATATTATCGGAGAGCGCCAATAACAATAATATTGATAATATTGGAAATTATGAATCAACAATTAACGTGCTTTTAGAATATTTACTTGGTATGGATGCATAATCTCTATCCGATAATCAAAATATTTATGCATTATTATGTCGCGTGTAATCACAATTAATTTGGAAATTTATATTTATTACCCGTGTAACCTTTTATATACGTTATTTCTTGGAATAATAGACTATGTAGATTCTTATGGTTATTATCAATATTATCAATAACATCCCGGTTTTTCAATTAGTTATCACCCCGGTTTTTCAATTAGTTATCACCCCGGTTTTTTAATTAGTTATCATACCGGAAATTTACATAATATTTCATTTATGTTTATTATGCTAAAATCTTGTATTTTTTTAATTTGCCATCTATCTCTAGCATCTATAAGCACGTATTACACGAATATTGAGTCCTGGTTTCACGCTAATTACATTACTGGCCTGACAACGTTCATTCATCAAGGAAAAATAGGTTTTATATACATTTTTTCAAAAATAATCGGATTTCTTTTATTTTTAATTGACAAAGTTATAGAAAATATAGAAGCATGTAATTTTATATGCGAAATCTTCAAACTCAAACTATAATCTGACATATTTTGTAGCATAATTATTATGTACATTTTTGCGTTGGAATAATTGTTAAAAAATTTCACGTCAAAATTTGAAGTCAAAAATTTTGTGAAGGTTTAAAAAAAAGAAGTGAAATGGCTTTAAAAAAATTGGCAATATAAAATTTTTTTATTTCAAATGAATCTAAACCTATCTAATTATGCTTTGCAATCCTGCGAGCCCACTTTCACCTATTTGCTGAGATATGCAATTTTTTGTCACCGTCGTTATTTTCGCAAGTATAATAAAGAGTTTGTGCTACATAAATATAACTTTGGAAGCAAAATAGCCACAAAAAAATTTGAAGGTGTTTTTAATTTCAAAGAACCTTGTCTAAAACAAACGCTATTTTTTTGTTTAATATGTTTTTTTTTAAATTTATATGTATTGACAGTTATTTAGAATTTATGACAAAACAACATACATCAATGTTAATAAATATTTTTAAAGCATGGCTCCTTTATATTCTAGAGACGTGTTCTATGAGCTCAAAAAATTTCTCAGGATTAAAAATTATCGTCTGTATGATGAGTTAGAACAGTTTTTACGAAAAGCGATTTTCTTTAATTAAATAAATTGATTTGGAAACTTAAAACGTTTATAACTTTGGAATCAAAATAGCTAGAAAAAAAAAAATTTAAAAAGCGTTTTTGATTAAGATGCATATTCTGCAAGCTCAAAACATTTTACGGAATTAAAAAATCTCATCCGTATGATGAATTATAACAGTTTACGTTTCTTTAATTAATTAATAGTAAAATCTCTTATTATTTGATTTACCTTTATGTTTGTGATTATACTTGTATCCGACGCCCCAATATCATGTTATTTCTTTTTCAAAAGATCCCACCTGATGATATAAGATTTTATTTTCTATATATCCCTCT